CACGCGCTCGGCTGGTCTGGACAGTTTTAAGTCTGTGCTGACAGTGAAAGGCAATTCCTGAGACTTGGTTCTCGGCCAAGCACACTTTTGATTGGGAGCCGTCTGCATCCGCGCTCACGTTTTTTCACACTCGTCCTCTTGTCTACGTCGCCATGAGAGCTCATGTGTTTTTGGTCGAAGGCCCAAATGTTCCCCCGAGAAAAGATCCAAACTAACGCCGATCAACGCGCGTGTGTTTTTTGGCCACGGATAGCAGCAAGTCAAATACGCGTGAGCAAGAGTTATAGATCGTCTTCAGCCTTTCAACGAAGCTCGAGATGCACTTTGCGGCGGCCGTATATCACCGCGCTAACCCCGCTAATGACCGCGCGATGGAGGAAAAAGCTCTCCCCCGTCGTCCGATACTGACCCCCAGTGGACGATGACTGAATCGTCACAAGGATTCCCCGAAACGGACTTAAGAGGACGACACCAATTGGAAAAATTGCACGACCAAAGTGACATTGTGATCGTGAGTTCGGCAATTTCAACACCATTATTTACAATAGCAAGGAAACAAAGGCTAAAGCCTCATTTTAAATAATAGTCCAAATAAAATTAGGGTGGATAGTACTTGAAAAAGGTCATACTAAAAAAGACGAAAGTCAATTATCCAGAATCACTGAAGAAGTTGGATTAAAAAAAAAAAAAATCTGTAAAAATGTCATACTTTGAGGAGGGGGGGGGGAAACGGATTCTTTTCAAAGCCAATCATATTTTTGGAAAAAAAATGTCAAGGTATAAATTGTATGTTACCCGAAACAAACTCACTTTTAAGGAATATTTTTTAAATATTCTTTTGTTTTAGAAGTATTTTTTTAAGATTTCCTTCTCCATGAACAACGTTGTGTTTTTGAGAAATAAAACCATATTTAAAAAAAAATCAATTGCTTTTTTTCCAGCTTTTTTCCTTCGCATAGTTTTTTAAAAACTTTTTAATTGTTGCACCTTTTGTTTTGCAAAAGACAGTTTTCATCCTGCATTCTACAAACGTATTAAACTCCAATTTCAAGTTCACAATTATTACTTTTTTTTAACCGTCATAAAAAATAAAAAACTAAACAGATCTTGTAAAAAGAAAACCTTTTTCAAAATCATTTTTCTTCTGACATTTTGACTTTAGTCTCAGAAAAATATCGCTTCTTGTGAAATCACAACTGAAGGGCCTCCCTCCCAATCATGCACATTGCAACTTATTTTGTCACTTGCGATGTCACAACCTTTTGCTTTTATTTTGTAAAACAAGTTTCTAAGCTGCCTTGATGCCCTTTTATTTCCTGGAGTCAACATTTCTTCCAAAATGGCAACTTTCAGTTCCACAAATTCACTTCTGTAAAATCCCCCCGCCCCCCTCTCGAATCGGACCTGCTCAAACCGTTCCGAACGTTGTCGCTGAATTTGCCCAGGAGGCCTGTCGTCTACCGAGAGGCCTGAATGTTTTGATTGACAATCTCGTTCTGATTGAAATAGACGGCCAAATCAGCAGGAGTCCGAAAAGTCTGGGCCCGTGCGCCCCTTTGCCCTCGACCCTCGCCCTCCCCTTCGCACGCACGCACGGCCGCAGTTATCAGACGCTCCCCGCTGCCGTTGTTTTCAGAGGTCAGAGTTGTTTGTTTGCCCGCAGGCTCGCGCTGTGATAGTCCGACTACGCCTGAGCGCCCCACGCATATGTCGTCGCCCCCCCCCCCCCCCCACC